CCGCAGAGATCTTATCAGTATCAAATTTGTGTCACGCTGCGCTGACCGATCCAAATATAAAATTAGCGACTACTTCAAGCGTTTGTGCACCTTAGATGGTGAACCATATAAATTTTATAATTTGTATTTTCATTAAAACAGTTTGTAAGCGGTCGCAATTTCACTAATCACAATTTATAGAAACAAACAATTCCAACGTGTTTTGCCTTAAATTACAATTGATGAACATCAATCAACATAGTTGCATATTTTGACAACTCATTTGCTTTTATTTGCAAATGTAAACAACATTTGACATCCTTATATGTTTATATAACAACAACAAAACATAACAAACAGTGAGGTTTGTAAACTGAGTATGTCCTAATATGAATTTTGTTTTTATATCTAATAAATATATAACACAATTTCAAGTCTAATAATTCGGAAAATGTATGTTTTATTAAAATTAAGCAAACAATTAATATTTTCCTACCGGCTTTGATATTTGTTTATTTACACAACGGTGATGCCACCCAACCAGATGCTATTTGCTATGGCTTATCTAATGTGTATTAAATGTTTATACTGATGTTTTCTCATCCGCTTTGCTATTTTCTTCATAAAATATAAAAATATATAAGAAATCGACTAAACAGAGGAAAATAAGTTATATATAAACTAATTCTGTTAACTTCAACCTATCTAGCTATATATCGATAAGTACTCGTATGTGTTCAAACTTCGGCATCGATAAATTTTTAATGAATCCGTTAAAATCAACTTGTGGCAACGTTACTCACAAACAGCTGTTTGTAAACAAAAATTTCTGGCTTAATTTCGCAAATCGTAAATTCTTTTAATAAATTTAAAAATTAGTGCGAAATTTTAGATAATTAAACAATTTATTGATTGCCATGGCTGCAACTCGTTCACGGCGAGTCAATGCCGGCAACAAAATAGCGAAACTTTTGAATGAGGAGGAGGAAGATGAATTCTATAAGACATCCTATGGTGGCTTTCAGGAGGAAGAGGAAGATAAAGAATACGTGTATGGTTGATATACTTTCAATTATTTTAGCAAATATTTATTAAACATATGCTTTGTAGTCAAAAAGACGAGGAAGAAGATGTAGTGGATTCCGATTTTAGTATTGACGAAAATGATGAACCCGTATCTGATACGGAAGATGCGCCGGAGAAGAAGCGCAAACGTGGCGGTGTCAACACAAAAGCTTACAAAGTAAATACATTAAAAGGTTTTGTTTGTGCAAAGTTTTAGCGTTTTCGATTTTTAGGAACCCAAACCAATGGTTAAAAAAGATGTAGCTCCAACACCGAAAAGAAAAGCAGGAAAAATAGTAAAAAGACCGCGACCGAAGTTCACTGTTATAGACTCGGGTCGGAAATCTATACGCGCTTCAACTGCTATTAAAACACAAGCAACCAAAATACGTTTGAAGGAAATGGATGATGCACGCAAGAAAAAGCGGCGTGTGAGAAGGGTAGAAGAATACATGCCAACGCAAGAAGAATTGCTGGAAGAAGCCAAAATTACTGAAGAGGAAAATAAAAAATCACTGGGTAAAAATAACCAGCCAACAGCTAAATACAAATCATAACTTTTGCCAAAAATTTTGAAACATATCTTTTGATCATTTGTCATTTGTATAAGTGGCACTTTATTAAACAACATACTTATTATTACAGAGAAGTTCCAGAAAATGGAATTGGAAAAGAAAAAGACACGCCCCACAAAACGTGTATATACTGGTCCGATGATACGCTATCACTCAATGACCATGCCCGTAGTACGTAAGCCTTCTAGGGGCGCAACAGGCGTTGGCGATGCCCCAGATACAGCTGCGAAGTGTGAACGCACATTCATAACACTCGAAAACGATCTTAATGACAAGGTGTTTCAATCCGTTTTCAAACCGAAGCGTTTGAATAATAATTCCGGCTATTTGTGCCCAATCACCAAGTGCGTCGCATACATAATTACAAAATATTTTGTTCTACTAAACAAATAATTATTATTATTATGTTACATAGATTACCTGCGCGCTACTTTGACCCCGTCACTCAACAGCCGTATTACAGCATGCAAGTCTTTAAAATTTTACGTGAAGCCTATTACTTGCAACTGGAAGAACGTGGCAATGCAGATAATCCTGATGTGGCCAAATGGTTGGAATGGCGCAAAATTGTGAAAGAAAATCGCGCCAAAGCTGCTGCTAACAAATTAAATCCGAGCACGTAATTGAAAAATGATATTTTTACTTCATGCAGTTGGCACATTTTAATGGCAATAATTTTACATTGGTTATTATGTCAACCCTACAATACAATAATACAATTTTTACTGTCTAAAATCTATTAAAAAATTCAATTTGTATTAATTATGTTTGCTTTCATTGTACTTGTGAGTATTGTTAACAAATTATGTGTAATTGTGAGTACGTTATCAACGCATCCGACGAAGAACTGCAACAATTTCGTATTTACTAGCGAAGACAATACACTTTATAGTTTAGCAGTGTAACTGCTCGAACGAACGCATCACTCCTCAGTCTGCGTCGGGCTGGACTGTGATTGTTAAATAAGCGTGTCCTCATCATGACCTTCAAATACCATTAGCAAAGAGTGCTGTGACGGTGAGCGTCCCAGTGTCATGCCACCAAGCGAACCATCGGGTGACAACAAGCCGGTCTGTAAGCTATTGTTATCGCGATAACCGGATGTGGATGAAGTTTGCGATACCGAGTCCCACGATATCTCGCCAATTGTTTTTGGGTGCTCTTCCTGTGAAATTTGCGTTACCTAACGTTTAAAAGAGTTAAACTCGCAAAAACGTGTCTCCAAAGAACTTTACTTACAATACTTGGCGGTTCCATGGGCGTTAGACGACTACGCCGCAACCTAAACGTTTTACGACTAGACGCTTTTGAGCGCTGTAAACGTGAACGCGTATGATCACCGGAACTATCTTCGGCCGGGCTCTCTGGGGATAGCGGTGTGGTGGACGTTTCACCAGAGGAATGTCTGAACTCTACCGAAGATACGAAACGCAATTTGGGTGGTTGTGCTTTAAATGGCGCCTGTTGCAGTGACTGGGAATGTGAGAGTTGCGACACGACCGCTGGTGGCAGAGCGGAAGCAATGGTTGCAGAGCTGGCGCCATGATTGGAGCCAGTAGTGACGGTGCCCGTGGCACCCACAAGTGTTGGCGCAGAACCGGCGGCATTCTCACCGCTCTGACTCTCGCTGGTGTGATGTTCGCGTCCTGTTGAGCTGCTGGACAATGACTCTCTGGGCGGATGTAGTGTTTGTTGAGAGAGCGTGTCACTCGGTGTACAAATGCCACCGGAGCCACTGCGTGAATCAATGGGCACGGCTGAAATGTGCGAATGTGTAGCCTGACCGGTGGTGGTGCCGGTGAATATGGATATAAGCGAAGGACGTTGTTGAGCTCTGTGCGTCTCGCCAGCGCTAGTTGCGGCGGGTGTGTCCGTTTTCTTTTGATCCGAGCACTCGCGATCTGCAAAAAATAGCGGCATTACAAGTTATGGCCGCTCCAATATATGTACTTCTGTATATGCTTACCGTAACGTTTTTCCTCGAGTTCATCTCTCAGATCCTTCAGCTCTCTGGCAAGTTCCAGCAAAAGAGCACCCTTTGACTTGATACCGCCCGAAGGTGGTGTGCCGCGTAGGCGTTCTCGTATTATAAATTGCATATGACGTTCATGGTCGCCGATCGGTGGTTGCGAAATCTATATTTTTGGAAAGTGTGGGATTAGTAGCAGTAATGGGAAGAGAGTAACGAGAATTAATTAGTAGAACTGATCCTATGGTCCTATAATGCTAACGCTACTTACTTTATGCAATATAAACGACATCAGCGCGATGTACAAGGGTGTCCGGTGCGTGACCACGAATTCGAGGAAACTCCACAAATCTGGCGCCGCTTCATTTCGCCGTCCTAGATCGCGCATTACACGCACTATCCGAGGCCACTCATTCGATAAGCGATTCTCGAAGCAAATACATACAATACGCAACGCCAAAAAGGCAGCCTGATATAGCGATCCCGAGATGCGCGCCGGTCGCTTGGCATCGCGACTGCCTGTAAATGTCAACGAACCAGCGCGCAAGTCGCCACCCACCCGATTGGTCTGTATAACTGCTTGTCCTGTGCGACCGGCCGGCGGGCTCATAGCATTTAGTACGACAGTTAACAGAAATGAGACATCGGTCATCTTTAGTTCGCCAATATCGGAAACGCCTCGTCCCGAGCACACCTTCAAGCACAGTGGCATAATCAAATGCATTAGAAAACCTTCGGCCTTCTCTTGCGTGGCGAATTCACTGCCACCACATATCTGCACTAATGAGAAACAATCCACGGGGCTGACCACTTGTAGTGCTACCAAGCGCACCACTGTCGAACAAAAGAAGGCTGGAGGATTCTGAGACATAAGAGCAGCACCTGCGCTTGATACACCCTCACCAGCGCTCGTACCCTCGTTTACGATCAGATTTTGCACCGTGCTTATGAGCGTCTTCATTTGCTGCCAATGCAGCACATACGGATGCCGCACGATGGTCTCGTGTATACCCTTAAGCAAACCGGCTGCCGCCTCCCAATCCGTATTGCGTCGTATCGAAGGTTTCTTGGAGATTTTCAAAAATACTTTATCCACGCGGCGCAGTATCGTGATCAATGAGTTGCGCAGTGCATCATTCGACCATTCGGCGCGTGGCAGTATAGCTTGCATATACCGTTGTAGACCACGGCACGCCATCGATTCAGGGTCGTAGGGTGAGACTTTCAACAGCGAATGCGCAATGTCCGCCAAACGCATATGACACTTGGCGTCCAGCACCTCGGTCGCTTTGTTGTCGTTTGGTAACTTTTTGGACAATTCCAACAACCGTGTGCTGGACTTGCTAAGGAAATCGCCAACCACTGAAAGCAGCACATCACGTGGACGTCGATACTCCGTGCGTATCATTTCAGAGTCTTCACCCGAGTCAGCGACGTTCTTTGTGCGTGGATCATTTACATATTTCGAATGTGATTCTTCCTCAAAGTCTAGACCGGGTGAGCAGGGCGGACCGCGACTGCAATTGCGTTGTGATGAGCCTTTGTGCTCTGGACTATTGCGATACGGACCATTATAGCTCTTTGCTAAACCCTCACAATTATGCACCATAGTTCGTATGGCGACGGCCAGTTGTAATATAATGTCTCGTTCCGATTTACCCTGTAGTGGAATGTAGCTGGGAGATTGTATTTGTTGTAAATAGCATGGTAGTATAGCCTCCAAAATTATCTGGAAAAATGGTTTGTAAGTAATTTGTAGTGGTAGAGTAAAACAGAGGTCTCAAACCAGCATTTGATAGCCACGTGTGCTCTCAGCGGAGTAGGAAACCACCATGACGCATAATGTGATGCAATCCAGTACGGTGACGTCACCATCCTCATCGTGATAGCAAAAGTCAATGGCTTTCAATGGTTTAGGCTCCTTAACCAGCTCAGCGATATTTAGTGGATCAGGTGAAGGATCCTCTAAACTCAGCAGTAAATTAAACAAGCAACTCGATTGTACCTGAGAAAGAAAGAAAGACGAAGTAAGTGTATGTTTGGCGCAATCAAATCTTTAGAGGGGAAAAGGTAGATATTATGTTTTTTACTTTGCTGGTTTTGGAAGCTCATCTTTACGTAATATATGTATATATATGTAAATATCTGCATTTGGTAAATCTATGGAAAATTACTAATCCTACCGTTATTGAAAAAAATAATATAAAAAAGAATTAGGACATGATCACTGATATCTGAATACTAACTTGACTCAGAAACACTTCCGGGCTTTAGAAAGCCTTTTTTTGCTACTTAATTGGAAGGAAGCTTCAAATATCTTGGAGTTCAAACAAAAACTTACCTTGTGCGCCTCGCCATAGGTACCATCTTCGTCTGTGTCGAGTATAGCTGATACCGAACCGAACATTTGCAAAATGAATGGTTTCCGGTTAAGCAAATAGAACTGTTTTACTGCGTACTCGATGGTGGTGGTGATCAACTTATTGGTCTGATGCAACGAATATACTTGCAACAAGGTCGGCATAATCATAAAATAACCATTCGTAGAAAATATATTCTTAAAATTGAAAGCGGCATTTATATAAGTGGCCATGACATAACGCATAATGCAGGAATCTTCCGCATGCAGTATAGCTGCCCCGGAAAGTACATTCAAGAATAGTTGTATGTCGGCGGAGTAGGCGAAATTGCCGGCCATCGCTTCGAACATGCGCGCAATCAATCGTACCCACATGAATTTGTGCAGCACGTCCAGACCCAGGAGCACCTTGAAAACGAAAAAAACATTAGCAATAACTCCCATTGTTATTGTATCATATATTGCACATACCTCGCCATATTCACCACCCTGATGTAAGTCCAGATCCACTTCGAGCGCTTTGCGTGGAAATGATGGTAGCTTCATAAGTTCCTCGTGTAGAAAAACGACACGTTGTACCACCATATCGACATTCTTTAAAATGGCCCATGTCAAATGCACTTTACCGATTTCGACGAATTTCTTAGTGAGCTCTTGCCTTTGCAATGCCAAGAAGGAATCCTCCGGTTTCATGAGTATCAAACGTACTTCAGGATATTGTGAACGCTTGAAAAAATACAAATCGCGTATGTACCAGTTGGGGTTGAGGATTTTGTCTGAAAAATTAAAAGTGTTTAACCTGTGTAAAGGTAATGTGGTGATCGTAAGAGAAATACTTCTGGGCTCTACATGTTTGCTTCGGAGATCATAAGCTCAGTACGAGTTCTCAATTTCCTTGGAATTATGCCTAATATCAATGATTTCTGAGAATAGTTTTCGAAACCAACATAGTCAAATATTTGTATTTATTTTTGCTGAAAAGCCGTGTAAAATAGTATTGATCTGAGACTATTATCTTTCTTCTCACTCTTCCTCTTATATGTACAAGTATGTCGAAAATTGAATAGTGACAGATTAATGACTTATCTCCAGAAAATGGAATGAATATAGTTTGACTAAGAGAGGAAGAACATATGGTAGATGTTTGGAGAAGGCTCAAAGTTGATTTAGATGCTTCCCTCTTCTTATGCCATGAGCCTTCGATTAATTGTCAGTCGACAAGACTGAGTTATAGTCGATTCTGGACTACAGAAGGATTTGGCTGCACCAGATATATATAAATCCATACGGAGGCTCTAAATAGTCCGAAAAGAGGCGATCGAATGTGAAATGTAAAAATATTTTCTAAAATATAATACGAGTTTTCCATTGACCTGATTGACAACGTAAGAAACAATAGAGCCAGCAGAAGTAAATATA